ACCGCCCAGAGACGATCCCCTCTGTTAGAGCAAGACGTGGAAGCGGCCGTAAAACAGCCCGTGCGCTCCGTCGTCGCTCAGCGCGAGCGGCAACGAAGCGCTAAGCGCCAGCTGCGGCCAATCGTGGTTGCGCGATCCTGCTTCCTCTCTCCCCCAGCGAGCCTATCTCAAAGTTTCAGGCATTTTCACACGTATTTACCGCAGTCCGCCAGATATCCAGCAATGTAGACGGCCCACCCAAATTGGGAATCCCTCCGTCATCGCGCACTCAACAGTATCAGACCACGCCGCTAGGAAAGATTTGCAGGTTTGCACGGCGACAGCAGCACCAGACGCACATTAATTTGGTCGCGGAATAGAGCATGTAGGGCGACGTATCCTCCGAACAACACCTGACAGCGAAAAGGGCGAAACACACACACACACACACACACACACACACACACGCACGCACGCACGCACACACACACACACACACACACACACACACACACACACACACACACACACACACACACACACACACACACACACAAAGCGCACGCTCTAAAGCAGCCACAATTTTCGCAGCCCTACCTAGGAGGAGCCCTGAAACTGGTAGACAAGTGCGTAGACAGGAAAAGCGGGTTGGGGTTCAAACCCCCTTGAAATTGTTCAATTTCGCAAGTGTATAAATAAAGACCCACATACAAACAGTCACACAAAAACAATAAAGTATGGTTGAACACCCCCTGCCTTCCCCACATATCCAACCACCCCTCCCCCCCCCCAAAAAAAAAAAAATCTGGCTATGTTAGCAGCTGGTAGACACCCTCTAATAAACAGTTTAGACACGACTTTACACTTGGCGGCAACTTAATATTATGTATAATTTTTACCTTTGATTTCACTTTAGGTTCAACCGGCACTATAGCTTCCTTTCCAGCTAATGTTAAAAAAATAGAAAAGAAAACACGCTGATGGGAGAAGCTACGCTAACTTGGAGGTGCACACGACACGTCATGTCACAACCTTCCGAACTTACCGTTGACAAACCTACCAGAGAAACGCTATCGATGATACCACCAAATAAAAATAGATCAATGAGTCAAACATTGGCCATGAAAGTCGGCCAAGCTTATATATTTCTTTGGACAGTTTGAACAAAGCTGATGCGAGCGTCGATAACTTCAACGAATAGCTCGAACGGTGTAGATGCTGCGAGGAGCCAAGGCCGCGACTGATATCAACTCAATAACTCAAGCTGTCACAGAACAAATTGAAAGCCGTTTTCTTATTCACAAAGCGGCCCCAGATGCCGGAGCGCTGCATGTGTCTACCCCCTGCTAGGAGCCCATCTGCGACCGGTGACAGCATCTGTAATGTATCTCGCTTTCTTGCAGTGCCTGCCTGCGCTCAGACGCAACGCTCTCAATAGGTTAACAATATCTAACCGCGATTATCTTTGCATTCAATCGAGGTTCTCATCGCTACCAAAATGTGTTTTTCGTAGTGTGCCCGTCGCTTGGCGCAATTAAGGCGACGTGCTGGCTCAGCTAACATTACGCTGCACTTCAATGCTATCTAGAGGCGTAGCTAGACTTCGGGGAGGGAGGGGGAGGAGGGGCAACGCCTTCAGATGTTAATTTTGCGCTCTGTATGCTATGGAGAAAAACAATCTGAGGGGGGGGGGGGGACACGGGCCAGTGTGTCACCTCTTGGCTAGGCCCTTGATGCTATCATGCAAGCCCAAATAAATTACGCTTTGCGTGGCGCAACTATACTTGCAATGAAATGCAACCCAAAAAACGAAGGAAAGAGGTGGAAATTTAGGTGCGCCTTTTCCTTTGCCAGAGAAAATATTGATGAGAACTAACAGACAATGGTGCCAAGGAAAGTATAGTATTGATATCCGGGACGTTTTACCTCCCAGAACCACCACATGATAAGGAGAGGCGCCACAGTGGAGGGCTCCGGAAATTTCGACCACCTGTTGTTCTTGAACGTGCACAGTACAGTAGTTTCTAGCGTTTCGCTTCCATCCAAATGCGACCGCAGCGGCAGGGAAGTATAGGGCAGGGGATTCAAGCATGCGACCGAAGGCTCCAGAAAAAAAGAAAGAAAATGCTTGTGACATGGGTAAATGGAAGTGACATTATTTACTGGTCTTTCTAGATTAACAACGTCTTCTTCTAGTAAGCAGGCGGGACTTGTTTCAAGCAGTTTTTTTTTCCTTTGTGAGGCACCTCACGGTTACTATGCGGTGAAGCGCAAAATCTGAGTTATTAAATCGACGTCCAGACTTGAGTCATTTCGGAGATCATTAAATATGTTTCTCGAATTCTGACGCCAAATCCTCCTTAGAAATGATCCATGTATGAGACATGCTGAATGCTGTTCTCTTAAGTGGCAGCACGAAGTGACCGACCATTAATCATAACGGTTCGTGGGTCAGAAACCAACTCCTGCGTGGATATGTACAGTACCGTCCTCTTTTAAAGAGAACACTCCAATGATCACCTGCCATATTGTGGGCCCCATAACTGCAAGCAGACATATGAAGATTGTTCGTGCCCGGCACCAGTCTATCCAAAGGAGTCAGAACAGTCAAGCAGCAGCGGCCGTATGCAAATCTGAGGCACTATGTTTTTGCCAGAGAGCGAAATCTAGACGTGGTTCAAACGAAAGTGTTCCCTTTAGCTGTGAACCCGTCTGTACATGCGGTGCCAACAGTGATTTCCGCACAGCCAGGGCCAAGGGAGAATCACGCTGCTCAAGAAGTCCTCCTCAAATCACAAGGGCTCTTTGTACGAACGTTAATGTGGTGCCGCCAGGGGGGTGGTGTCAGGGTCAACTCCCTCCTCCGAAATGTTTACATATTGTGCGCGTAAATATGCACGTAAACATACGTCCCAACATATATAAGGCAACGACACCATTGGCAACAAACAGCATCGAAAACTTTGTGGGTGTCCCATAACACTTGAAAAGCTTGTTCGTACGTAAACATATCGATAAATTATTACGTTATGACGTAGTTATTAACTATAACGTCTCGCTGTTACGGAAGCATTGTGAACAAAGGCGATACCTCCTGTAACGCTCCTTTAGTTGCCCTACTCAGAAACCGTATACATCGATGTTTAGAACCTTCTGTGAATGTAATTAATCACCCTGCCATGCAATCGCATCTCTTCGTGATGCCCCCCAGTGTCGCCAGCGCCGCCCCGCCGCGGTGGTCTAGTGGCTAAGGTACTCGGCTGCTGACCCGCAGGGCGCGGGTTCGAATCCCGGCTGCGGCGGCTGCATTTCCGATGGAGGCGGAAATGTTGTAGGCCCGTGTGCTCAGATTTGGGTGCACGTTAAAAAACCCCAGGTGGTCGAAATTTCCGGAGCCCTCCACTACGGCGTCTCTCATAATCATATGGTGGTTTTGGGACGTTAAACCCCACGTATCAATCAATCAAGTGTCGCCAGCGCTCGCACACGCTCGGCCAGTGAAATGCCTCAAAAGTTGCAATGCTGAAGTGCAGCTCCAAAGGGGTGATGTTTTCAATACACCTGAAGGCTAAGAAATTTTGGGGCACGTATATTACACATGCGCGTATATTATAATAAATTATTACGCCCAACTACACCACCAGCATTCAGTCGTATGTGTATAGTTCAGGTCAAGCCAAGTACTCGAGCTCTGAGCCTGAACTATAGGGGTGCTGTAACTGGTGTTGAAGTCCAGTAAAGCTGATCAGATGATTGACAACTCATCACGCAGAGCGTTTCAAGAGCACTACACGTGTGTTCCAGTGAGCCAATAGTAATGTATTTGCAATGTAAATGCAAAACATACTCTTTTTGCACCCCCACATAATAACTTGCGCATATGTATACATGTATGTGTGCGCACGAGTACTTCGATGTGACGACGGATGGCAGTCGAGGTTTCTGCGATCAATATCAACGACTTCCTTTGGGTAGGTTCGCGTAGGCGGCACACGCGACTGAACAGGGTGTATATATACGTGCGGGTCGATGGTGCAACGAGGGATCACCGGATCTGACACGACAGGGTTTGATCGCAGGAAGCGTCACCCAACCGTTGTAAACCAGCAAGCACACACGAGAAGGCAACGGAGCAACACAAACGCACGTGCAAGAATGAAGCTTTCACGGCCGTCGAGCACTGTCGTCTTATCGACGCCGAAGCAGCAATCTCATCTGAGAAGGTAGAGCAGCTACTGCATTAACGCTGGCGAAAAACCGGCCCATTGTTTTCCTTCCGGCTATTTCATTTCGCGCTGGGGCTCCTGGCGACCTCCCACCTCTGGCTGGGCTGTGCGCGTGTGCCGGTCGCGGTAATAAGGCTAACTGCCAGCAACGATCAACTCCAAGGAGGGGAGCCCTGGCGAAAGCAACCCGTACTCGCTCTCTCCTGCTCCGAGGGAGGGTCCCTCTGAGAGTACAGAACGATGCGTACGACGCAGGCGAAGGTCACTTGCCAAAGACTGCGGAAATGCGACCTCCACGGCCTCAACCGAAAAGAAGATGAAAACACACACAACGGCGCCGCGCTGCTTCTCGATACGCGTCCAAAAGCGAAACTTGCGCGGCCGCGCTGGCGTCGGAAGGGGACGGTATTCACGAAAGTCGGTCGCACCGACTGTTCTGCCCAGGGGGGCTTTACGTCGGCCTTCTCTCGAGCCCACCGCGATGTGTGCGTGGTATGGGCGCGAGATGGAAGCCCGTCGTTCTGCTGCTGTGGCGTTCCCACCGCAAGCAGAGTGGCGGGAGGGAGGGGTTCAGCGGCGGTTTCGTACGCCTCGCGTGGCCGCCGCGGCAGACTCGTCGCTCGCGGCCAGTGGTACCCCCGCACGAGTGGAAGTAATCGGGCTAGCAGGATATATATATATCGCGCGCGCACAAGCACACACACACACACACACACACACACACACACACACACACACACACACACACACACACACACACACACACTGTAGCGGAGAAGTATCTGCAGCGCTTACCGTTCTCGGCAGGGTCCCCTTTTTTCGTAGTGGCGGCATTTCCCATGGCTCACTTTCGACCAACTCGCTCGACTGCGCGGCGATCACTCCGGCCCGTACGTGCGCACGGTGCCAAACGTCGTCGTAGCGGTCCCACACCGTCGAGAGAGAGCCGAGACCCGCGGAAAAAGGAAACGAAACAAGAACGGCGACGGAAAAGAACGGCCAGTAACGAAACGGGATCGGGTGATGCTGCCGGCAGCGGCTTCAGTATCAACACCGCCGCGAAAGCACTTGCACAAGCACGGCACACGGCTGGCAGACGGCCCCTAGTTGCCGCTTTCAACGTTGCGGTCCTCGCGCAGACAATCTCTGGACCCTACGGTATCCGTCTTGGGCAAGCCGCTCCCCGCAAAACACATTTAATCTCACGTCAAACAGTCAACAAACCGAGCCGCCATCGAAGAAGCCTCGCACAAGACGACGGGTCGCCGCCGCGCCGTGTTCTTCCGCGAGGCACCGCGGCGGGGCAGCCGCCGAGCAGACCTCACCGGCGCTGCGGCAGATTTTGTAATCGCTTCCGGCGCCACTGCGACCGCAACTGCACGCCACGAACAGCTGGAAAAGCACGTTTCTCGGCTCTGCTTCTTTTCTCCGCGCGTGAGCTCCGAGTTGAGAGACGCCGAGTTGCCGCACTCTTTGTAAGCGCGCGCCGCCAAAATGTGGGCGGTGCGCAGGCGAAAGCAACATGGCGGCGCGGCAGCCTCGGCCCGACTCGCTCGCGGAGACCGAGTGAAGGGGTGAGTCGCGCGCGCGAGAAAGAAAAAAAGAGTAAACGAAAGCGCCGGGAGGGGAGAATCCAACGGGAAGGAAAGAAAATATCCGATTCTTGCTCGCGAAAAGGGCCTGGCGACGCTGTCCGCGAACTGAGCGCGCGAAGCGGCGAATTGTTCTGACAGAAAGCACAGGTGTGTCCTCGCCGGTAAAAAGAAGTGCCAATTGAAGGCGTTTAGCTGTTGCGTAAAACGAGTCGATTCTCTCTCCGCAGTCGGCAGTGGGCACGTGACATCACTTTGTTTTCAACCTGTGCAAAAATAAAAAGCAAATATTAAGCAACGCTGAGCTTTTGAGTAGCGCTCAACGTGGTCTTTCTCACGAGATGACAGAGATCAGAGCAGACTTCGCTCGGCTCATGCCGAATGCGCGAAGTACCCCGTGAGCAGGTGCCGGTACGTCGGCGGGCCATACCCGGGCGATGAAGTGTTAAATTAACAGTAAGAAAGCAGCCCTTCCTGTCCTCTTCCGATCACGCATAGCTCGTATGGAGTATCGTATCCGCAACAGGTGGCGCCACTAAGCAACCGGCGCGCTCAGGGACTAGTAACAAAAAAGCAATGAAAAGTGAACACTAAACGAGCATCTGAACATATATATATAGGCCATAGAAGTGTTTGGCCTCTATTCGTAGAGTTCCTTTTCCATTGTCCGTGTTGCTCTTCAAGCGACGGCAAGAAAAGGTGGAAGAGCAGTTGAATAACAAAAATAGAGCCGTCGTTCGATGGGAAACCCTGAGCAGATGGTAACGCGCAAGTGCTGCTAGATGACGCGAGAGAGCATGCAGCGAATTCTCTGCAATATGTAGTCCCATATGATTATTGAAGGAGTTTCGAGGCGCATGGGCCATGGGTGGCCAAAGGGAACCACGTATTTTATGCGATGCCTTACTTAAATAGAAGAACGTATTCAACTCGGAATGTGAAGTTATTAATGATGCGCAGAGGCATGATTCATCCTATGTTATTGTTATCACAGTCCTCCATTTAGGTTTACAGTATTTACCCTCAGTTTCAGAAGAGCTCCTTCGACTTGCGCCATTGCATCAGGGCTGCCTACTGGACTAGCCCAATTTCAAATGACTGTCATTGGAAGGTTGCAATGAAAGTGCGATTCAACTGCAGCTGCGATTCTCCTAGTCTTGTGATGATGTAATTTTATTACACTTATGCGAGCACATCAATAACAGTACAGACTTGTCAACGACCAAATGATTCCCGATACATTTGGAGAAAAAAAACCAAAAACAAAACAGGACATGCGAACCTTGACACACGGAAAACGTCAGAACACCACTAACGTGTCTTTTCTTCTGTGGTGCTTTTGTCTATGTTGGCACGACCTGTCCTTTAGAAATAATGCTGTCAGCTAGCTCAGCTCCGTTACCCTAAGAATTTTAGTAGTTCGGTTGATGTAGAACCTAGTCTAACGCTGAACCAAACTGATATCTGCGGAATTTCTTACCTTTGCATATATTCGTGCATGCTTGAGCGTTACTAACAGCGTTATTGCTCGGCTAGGCGTGGGAGAATTGCAGCTGACAAGATTGTAAACATCATAATGTGCGTGCGCGTTACAAAGCATGGCAAGCTATTTACTGCAGTGATAAAAGTGTATATGAGCTTTAATGGTGCACTGTGGCATGCTGCTTGTCAATCAATTTTCTTGTCGTAAAACAAACATGTTTTACAACAAGATCTAAGCTCAGTGTACAGGCGATGGTAAGCAAAAGATGCTTGGTGACGATAAACGACACTGTTAGACGCTTGCGGTACCCTTACCAATAATTGCCAATTAATGCAGTTATTAAAGTTATACTACACTTATATATATAATGCCATACGATTTGTAGCGCTACAATGCGTGAAATGTATTACCATGCTTAAAATAGGTGAACTTCGATCCCTTACTTAGTTTCTTGTCATCTTACGTATTATTAAAATTTCATACACTTTAGTTCGCTTTCCTCTGAGAGACGATATCTTCAGACTTTCCGAAAGGAATTTCCGCATTCAAGGGAGCAGAGGGCTGTTTCTGTCTTTAAGGTGTACTGGCACGATTTGAAGACATCGCGAAAGGGATATTTTTGTTTCGTTCGTATGCACTGTCAGCGCTCTCAATATATTCGGTGCATTCACAGGCACGACAATACTCGTTTTAGGGTTCTCGACACCACTACTTTTATTTACAACAACAATAATATTAATGTCAGCCCTCATTTAATTATTTTTCGTTTCATTAACATATATTGTTATATTCTTTGCGTCGTTGTATTTGGTTCAACAACAGTGCTGGCCGGCAGAGCACGCGGCTTCAGAGCGTGCCTCTTCGCCGAAAAAAAAAAACAGAAAAAAAAAAGGTTCGAGAGACCCTTCCCAGATGAAACTGCGTTCCCCTATAGCGCCTAGCAATGGCCGTTTCACGCGACAGATGCTGCAGTGTTTGTGGAAGCCACGCACGACATGTGCCCGGGTGAGGGAGGGAAACGGTGTGAATTCTTCCACGAGTGGAGAGGCCGCGAGTTGACGCTAAAAATAGCGAGAGACAATTTGCCTTTCGTTGAGTTTTCCTCGTCGGAGGTCTTTTATTCACGACTTGTGAAATAGCTGCAGCGATGATCAAAATAGAATCGCTAAACTACATGTGGAGGCCAATGACGTGGCACCAAGGTCACAGTTTTTTTTTTTCTCTATAGTCACATATGATATAGTCGCTCCCCGTGTTTCGAGAAATTCATGTACGCCACAAGTTTTGGCTGACAGCATATCACTCTGTCACAGCTGCCCAAATGCGTGCGTGAAACGTGCCGCCGCTACTTTCTCAGTGACAGTTCAAAGACAACCGCCTCATCGGACGGCCGATATAGCACTAACAGTGGCCGCGGTTTGTGTGATACGCGCGCTCATTTTTCTCGTGACCGCTACGCTCCATCGACGACCGCTAGAGGGCAATCGCTCCGGCCTTCAAGGGTGCCTCACCGCAGAGGCAGCTTAAATTGCGTCAAGTAGCGTCCTCCCGCGGAGAATCGGGTAATTGCTGGTGCTGCGGATCACTGGAGCGCGCTCGTCTTCAAAGCCCGTACCGCATTCGTGGCTAGAATAGCGAGTAGAATGGCGGCCACGCTGAGTGCGCATCATGCAGTGACCACGTGTCTTCTCGTGACCTTGCGTAGCGGATGCGCGTCGTATGTTTCGAGTCTTTAGTTGTTTTTTTGTGCGTTTGACTTTTGCGCTACAATAGGAGAGTAGGTTCACCTCCATCCTATTCGGCTACCGTATAAAGCGCTGAATTTACACTATTTAATAAAAAAGAAAACATTACAAAAAGGGTAGTAACTGCAACGGTTACTAACGTTCTTGGATCGCTACCAACTTCATGAGACCCATTTACTACGTAAATCACCTAACTGTTGGTGGCTGCAACCGTTAACCTTTTGTTAGCTGTTTACTATCTAGGTTAGTAATTAACTGCAAGAAAATGGGCAGAAACAGCTGCGGTTACCACCTGCCTTGGACCTTTTTTTTTTCCGCCCGACAATTAAATACTTAATTTACAATTGTAGTCAAAACCTAGCGTGCGTGAAATAATAACTGGAGTCATATCGACTTATCACCTTCAAGCAGGAACTGGAGAAAAAACAGTCCATGGATAAAAAAAAAAAATCATAGCGTATCACCATGGTCTCGGGCGTAGTATATAATGCCTCATTTTCGAAACTCACGGCGCAAGAAGGACGCAGACGAAGTACAAGACAACACGTACTTCGTCCGCGTCCTTCTTGCGCTGCGAGTTATCGAAAATAAATTATTACCAACTAGCACAGACTTCCCTTCTTATTCTTATATAATGCCTCACAGTGGTAATTTTATGGAAAATAGACATGACACTGTTTTTTTCACTACGATTAACTAAAGATATTATCCTACGTCCCCGAGCATGATCACGATAGCGCGTAGAATCATAGGTCAATATTTATAATTATTCATCGTTGAACAGAGTTGCTCAGCGGTACCAGATGTGTTCCTCGAAGGTACGCCTACAAACACTCCTGGAGTCGTTTTAGTGTATACCACGCATTAAAGTTGATGTTGCGTGATCTTCTCAGTCATGACGTTCCGTGCATAATTACTCGAGTTTTTTTCGTAAGGCTGATATTGTGAATTTCTTCTTCATTAACAACTCAGAACATTAACACGTTGTTAACGGTACCTACCTTTTTTTCTTTCTAACGAACTTTATTTTACTACCTATGGTTAGCAACGGCTAGAGTAGTAATGTGTTACTAATTGATGCTAGAAACTGCTAATGTAGCAACAGTCACTACACTTACCGTTACTAGCTGCAGGGTAGCAATACGTGTGATAATCCCTCACTACATGAAGTTAAGCATGAACATACTTAAAAAATGGTTGTCCCCCCTCCACGAAAAAAAAAAAAAAATGTCACACGCAAGTTGTCTTCTACGCGCCATGTATGTCATTTATTAATTCGCGCCAATTAACCTAAATATAAAACCTGCTCGTACATTTTGTTTAAATGAGTAATACTACATATGACTATCCTTTGGCACAACTTATTCATAATATTCAACAGACTCGAAACAGTCACTTCGGCGCATCAAGTTCAGAATGAATGCCAGACAGAGTTGCTTTGCTGTGATGAGTCGCCGCGCCCTAATTCGAAGCAAGTGTGACTTGTATTTGTAAGAAACGTTACATGTCTATGTTCTTTCATCAAAAACGTTTTCACCACTGCTTTTTTTTACTAGTGGGCATTATTACACTCAGTTAATTTGATAAATATACTATA